ATCAGGTCTCAACCGGTACCAAAAGACTGGAATAATTCCCTGCATATGTTCAGACCACAATGCTTTGAAACTAGAACTCAATCACAAGAGTAAAGTCGGAAAGAACTCCATACATTTGAGTTCTTTGCATCCTACTAAGAATGAATGGGTTGGGGCGCCTGGGTGGCTCAGTTGGTTAAGCGACAGCCTTCGGCTCAGGTCATGATCCCAGGGTCCTGGGATCGAGCCCCGCATCGGGCTCCCTGCTCGGCAGGAAGCCTGCTTCTCCCTCTCCCCCTCCCCCTGCTTGTGTTCCCTCTCTCACTGTGTCTCTCTCTCTCTGTCAATTAAATAAATAAAATTAAAAAAAAAAAAAAAGAATGAATGGGTCAACCAGGAAATTAAATAAGAATAAAAAATTCATGGAAACCCATGGAAATGAAAACACAACTGTTCAAAATCTTTGGGATACAGCAAAGGCAGTCCTGAGAGGAAAGTATATAGCAATACAAGCCTTTCTCAAGAAACAAGAAAGTTCTCACACCTAAAGGAGCTAGAGAAAAAACAGCAAATAAAGCCCAAACCCAGCAGGAAAAGAGAAATAATAAAGATCAGAGCAGAAATCAATGAAATAGAAACCAAAAGAACAGTAGAACCGATCAATGAAACTAGGAGCTGGTTCTTTGAAAGAATGAACAAGATTGATAAACCCCTGGCCAGACTTACCAAAAAGAAAAGAGAAAGGACCCCAATCAACAAAATCATGAATGAAAGAGGAGAGATCACAACCAACACCAAAGAAATACATACAATTCTAAGAACATATTATGATCAACTCTATGCCAGCAAATTAGATAACCTGGAAGAAATGGATGCATTCGTAGAGATGTATCAACTACCAAAATTGAACCAGGAAAAAATAGAAAATCTGAACAGACCTATAACCACTAAGGAAATTGAAGCAGTCATCCAAAATCTCCCAACAAACAAAAGTCCAGGGCCAGATGGCTTCCCAGGGGAATTCTATCAGACATTTCAAGAAGAATTAATACCTAATCTCCTGAAACTGTTCCAAAAAATAGAAATGGAAGGAAAACTTCCAAACTCATTTTATGAAGCCAGCATTACCTTGATCCCAAAACCAGACAAAGACCCCATCAAAAAGGAGAGTTACAGACCAATATCCTTGATGAACATGGATGCAAAAATTCTCACCAAAACACTAGCCAATAGGATCCAACAATACATTAAAAGGATTATTCACCATGACCAAGTGGGATTTATCCCTGGGCTGCAAGGTTGGTTCAACACCCACAAATCAATCAACGTGATACAATACATTAACAAAAGAAAGAACAAGAATCATATGATCCTCTCAATAGATGCAGAAAAAGCATTTGACAAAGTACAGCATTCTTTCTTGATCAAAACTCTTCAGAGTATAGGGATAGAGGGTACATACCTCAATATCATAAAAGCCGTCTATGAAAAACCTACAGCAAATATCATTCTTAATGGGGAAAAGCTGAGAGCTTTTCCCCTAAGGTCAGGAACGCGGCAGGGATGTCCACTCTCACCACTGCTATTCAACATAGTATTAGAAGTCCTAGCCACAGCAATCAGACAACAAAAAGAAATCAAAGGCAACCAAATCGGCAAAGAGGAAGTCAAACTCTCACTCTTTGCAGGTGATATGATACTTTATGTGGAAAACCCAAAAGACTCCACCCCAAAACTGCTAGAACTCATACAGGAATTCAGTAGAGTGGCAGGATATAAAATCAATGCACAGAAATCAGTGGCATTTCTATACACCAACAAGACAGAAGAGAGACAAATCAAGGAGTCGATCCCATTTCCAATTGCACCCAAAACCATAAGATACCTAGGAATAAATCTAACCAAAGACGCAAAGGATCTATACTCAGGAAACTATAAAATACTCATGAAAGAAATTGAGGAAGACACAAAGAAATGGAAAAATGTTCCATGCTCATGGATTGGAAGAACAAACATTGTGAAGATATCAATGCTACCTAGAGCAATCTACACATTCAATGCAATCCCCATCAAAATACCAACCACTTTTTTCAAAGAAATGGAACAAATAATCCTAAAATTTGTATGGAACCAGAAGAGACCCCGAATAGCCAGAGGAATGTTGAAAAAGGAGAGCAAAGCTGGCGGCATCACGATCCCGGACTTCCAGCTCTATTTCAAAGCTGTCATCATCAAGACAGTATGGTACGGGCACAAAAACAGACCCATAGATCAATGGAACCGAACAGAGAGCCCAGAAATGGACCCTCAACTCTACGGTCGACTAATCTTCGACAAAGCAGGAAAGAATATCCAATGGAAAAAAGACAGTCTCTTCAACAAATGGTGTGGGGAAAATTGGACAGCCACATGCAGAAGAATGAAACTGGACCATTTCCTTACACCACACACAAAAATAGACTCCAAATGGTTGAAAGACCTAAATGTGAGCCAGGAGTCCATCCAAATCCTAAAGGAGAACACAGGCAGCAACCTCTTCGACCTTAGCCGCAGCAACTTCTTCCTAGAAACATCGCCAAAGGCAAGGGAAGCCAGGGCAAAAATGAACTATTGGGATTTCATCAAGATAAAAAGCTTTTGCACAGCAAAAGAAACAGTCCACAAAACCAAAAGACAACCGACAGAATGGGAGAAGATATTTGCAAATGACATATCAGATAAAGGGCTAGTATCCAAAATCTATAAAGAACTTATCAAACTCAACACCCAAAGAACAAATAATCCAATCAAGAAATGGGCAGATGACATGAACACACATTTTTCCAAAGAAGACATCCAAATGGCCAACAGACACATGAAAAAGTGCTCCACATCGCTCGGCATCAGGGAAATCCAAATCAAAACCTCAATGAGATATCACCTCACGCCAGTCAGAATGGCTAAAATTAACAAGTCAGGAAACGACAGATGTTGGTGGGGATGCGGAGAAAGGGGAACCCTCCTACACTGTTGGTGGGAATCCAAGCTGGTGCAGCCACTCTGGAAAACAGTATGGAGGTTCCTCAGTTGAAAATAGAGCCACCGTACAATCCAGCAATTGCACTACTGGGTATTTACCACAAAGATACAAATGTAGGGATTCGAAGGGGTACGTGCACCCCAATGTTTATAGCAGCAATGTCCACAATAGCCAAACTGTGGAAAGAGCCAAGATGTCCATCGACAGATGAATGGATAAAGAAGATGTGGTATATATACACGACGGAAGATTATGCAGCCATCAAAAGGAATGAGACCTTGCCATTTGCAATGACATGGATGGAACTGGAGGGTGTTAGGCTGATTGAAATAAGTCAATCAGACAAAGACATGTATCATATGACCTCACTGATATGAGGAATTCTTAATCTCAGGAAACAAACTGAGGGTTGCTGGAGTGGTGGGGGTGTGGGAGGGATGGGGTGGCTGGGTGATAGACATTGGGGAGGGTATGTGCTATGGTGAGCGCTGTGAATTGTGCAAGACTGTTGAATCACAGATCTGTACCTCTGAAACAAATAATGCAATATATGTTAAGAAAAAAAAAAAAAGAAGAAGATAGCAGGAGGGGAAGAATGAAGGGGAGTAAATCGGAGGTGGTGACAAACCACGAGAGACGATGGACTCTGAAAAACAAACTGAGGGTTCTATAGGGGAAGGGGGTGGGGGGATCGGTTAGCCTGATGATGGGTATTAAAGAGGGCACATTCTGCATGGAGCACTGGGTGTTATGCACAAACAATGAATCATGGAACACTACATCAAAAACTAATGATGTAATGTATGGTGATTAACATAATAAAAAAAAAATTTTTAATGTTTACATTCAATGCGTAAAGAAGGAAACAACTGAGGAGGGTAGAGATGGAAAACAGTTTCCTCTGAATTGATTCTTTGTAAACTGACATTAAAACCATATCAACAGGGCACCTGAGTGGCTCAGTCATTAAGCGTCTGCCTTTGGCTCAGGTCATGATCCCAGTGTCCTGGGATTGAGCCCTGCATCGGGCTCCCTGCTCAGCGGGAAGCCTGCTACTCCCTCTCCCACTCCCTCCTGCTTGTGTTCCCTCCCTTTCTGTGTTTCTCTCTGTCAAATAAACAAATAAAATCTTTAAAAAAATAAGAAAGAAATCTTAAAAAAAAAAAACATGTCAACATTTTACATAATTATAAAAAAAGTTAAATCAAACTTTTAAAAAGCAATCCCCTCAAATCGAAAAGAAAATGATACTTAAGGGTATATTATGTTGGTGGTTTAAGAAGACAAAAAAAAAATTATTTGAAAAGAATTTACCACATACTAATCTGACAATACATCGAGTTAGACATACCCTAAGCACTAAAACAACGGCACAAAAATCCTAGGTTGTATTCAGAAATCATAACATTATTAATAATATCACTGTTATTCTGAGACTTCTATAAATATTGTAAAGCAAATAATGTCAATAGAAAACAAGATTTTTAGCTTAAGAGAAAGAATTACTCATATAAAATAAATTAGGCAAAATACTGCAATTGGAAATACCAGTATGAACAGATGTATTTTTTTTCCAATAAAATTTAAAATTTTTATTGATATTTAAATTATAAACCAAATGTTAGGAACCACATGTAGACATGTTTGCTGTGGACAAATTAAGATTCGGAGGGCCTACTTTCAAATACAACTTCAGAATTAGTTGCAATAAATCAAGACATCTTCTCAGAATCTGTATGATTTCCTTCGATTTACAACCCATGATGTACAAAGTTTAATATAACCTGAAACAACTTACCATCTACCCTAAAAGCTACAGAAAATGGAATCGCTATTAGGATCGAATAACAACAAAACAAACATTTCAGCAGTTTTTCTTAAAAGTATAAAATATAGAAACTTGGAAAAGGTAATACTGTTGGTTGAGCTGTAAAACCTATAAAAACAAGTTTTGCCACAGCGCACAAACTCATTCATTTGGCTTCCCCGACGCCCCCGCCCATGCAGCCGTCAGTTTAGCACTGGAAGACACAGAAAACCACACATCCTTATGTGAAGTCATGCAGACAGTGAGAAACAAGAGTGTGCAAAAGATAGACACGCCATACTCCCAACACCGTGGATGTCTACAGTGGACTTCCAGCTGACTCAGCGCCCGCAGTAACCTCAGACAGCGTCCTCTGGCAGTGCTGGCCGGCGGACTCAGATCTGGGGTCTCTCGCTGCAACAGGGAAAGTGGTCTTCGGTCCGGAACAGGACGGGCGGCTCGTAGCCACTCTGCTGCGGCCTGCTGGAGGGCGCCTTGTTGAAGAAGGAGGGCACGCTGATCGTGTGCAGCAGTTTCCTGAAGGCGCTGGGGAAAGCGCCCAGCTCGGCCTGCGCCCTGGCCACCTGCTCCTCCATCCTGGCCACGCTGGCGCCGATCAATCCCCACGAAGGCCTCGAGCCGGTCGATCTTGCTGTAGACCTGCCGCATCTCGGTGGCCTTCGCGTAAATGCGAGGCACACCCTCGCTGACGACGTGGGAGGAGTCTCCACACAGTATGTCCAGCATGCCCACGAACTCGTCCACTCTGGTGAGCAGGTCCTCCAGGCTGGCGTCCAGGGCCTCGACCTCGGGCCGCGCCCCGGCTCCCGGCAACAGGCAGGCGGCGCAGCCCGCGGCGGCGCGACGCAGCAGCGGCACATCACGGCCCGGCGCGCCCAGCTCTACGCCCTCGTCCTCCCACGGCCCCGACGCGCTGCTGTGGCTCTGGGACACGTTGCCGCTGTCCCCACTCCAGGCAGCTCCCTGGAGCTCGGCCTCCTCCTCCGCCGACCCCTCGCGCGGCGGCCCACCACCCGCGGGACGATCCTCCATGGCCCGCTACGGCCGGGCTGCCCGCCCCTGAACAGATGTATTTTTAAAAGAGTTATTTCCTGGCTCTTTCTGCTGGGAATGCCTAGAAACAAAAACCAACCCAGTAGCAGTGAGTACTCCAATCAGATTGTGGTCTCTAAACATTATTTCCCACTAGAGGAAACGGGGCTCTTCAGAGGAACAACTGGTTCCAGATGCAGAGCAGAAAACGTGCAAGAGAAGCCTAAAACACACTGTTCCATCAGAAGGCAAGAAAGTAAAGACTATTGGATTTCTGACAAAAGGACCCAGGAGGCCACTTATGGAGGCTTCCACTGGCTAAAGCAGCAACACTATCAGTACTGAAAACATCATCCACAATGGAAACACACCAAAATATTAAAATCTGTGAGTTCATAAGGGAACTGAAGTATCCTTTAAAGTCCCAGTCCTAAAAGGTAAGTCTTTGGAGACTGCCAGGGAAACCAACTCCTGATTCCAAAACCCGGTAAATAAGTCAATCTTACATAAACTATTCCTCAGAGTAACCACACAGGTGATAAGAGCTTTTTTTCTATAGAGCAATTTCGATTAATACATGAAGTCAGAATGATAATATATATTTTCACCCATACCAAAACAATGTATCTCAGCAATTATCATTGACACCTGCTAAAACCATTACAAGGAGAGCTGGTGAGGAAACTTAAAATGAGTAGACCGGAAGTGACACCACTGCTCATTCTTTGTATGGGAAAAGGGAGAGCCAAGTCATCCATGTGTGCCTTATGTTAAGAAAAAACACACACCACTGGGGCGCCTGGGTGGTTCCCCAGTTAAGCGCCTGCATTTGGCTCAGGTCATGATCTCAAGGTCCTGGGATCCCCCAGCTCAACACCCAGCTCAACTAGCAGTCTGCTCAGCAGGAGGCCTGCTTCTCCCTATCCCTCTGCAGCTCCCCCTGCTTGTGTGCTCTTGTGTTAGTTTTCTGTCAAATAAATAAAATCTTAAAAGAAAAGACAGGGGCGCCTCGGTGGCTCAATCGGTTAAGCATCTGCCTTCAGCTCAGGTCATGGTCCCAGGGTCCTGGGATGGAGCCCCTCTGTTTCTGCTGAACAGAGAGCCTGCTTCTCCTTCTGCCCCTCCCCCTGCTTCTCTGCATGCACTCTCACTCTCTCAAATAAAATCTTTAAAAAATAAAAAACAAAACAAAAAACCACCATCAATGAACTGTCTTCAGAAAAAATCTAATTTGGATCTGATCAAACCTATAAATTTATACAAGAAACACAGGAGCAGCAGTTTAAAGGACACAACACTATGTTGTTTCTAGATTTGATCAGTAAAATCCAAACGTGAAAGGCCAATGAACTCTGTTTTCCTTATAACAGATTCATTTCAAGGACTAAAAAAGTAAAAAATTAAAAAATGATAAGGGGATCTATAGATTTAAAGAGAATTAAGAGACAAATTAACCTGAATTAGAACGGAGATATACAGACCTTGATTTGATCCTGATTCAAACAATCTAGAAAATAATCATTGATGAGCCAGTCAAGTGAACTCTGACTGGATATATGGCTGCATTAAGAACCTATTCAAAAAAAGCCAAAAACCAAAAACAAGAAAACCCGGGGGGGGGGGGGGGGAGAAAAAAGAACTTATTAATCAGTTGGTGTTTAATAATATTGTGAATATATCTATTTTAAAAGATTGGTATCTTCTACAGATATAGATGAAATAATTACAAATGATATGATGTCCATGTTTTGCTTCAAAATAATTCAGAGGCAAAAGGAGTGTGTAGAAATGAAGTACAAGAGAAGAGGGAGCAAAGATGAGACGTCATCAGCATGTACTGAAAATTGATGCTGAGGATGATGGGTATATATGGGCCAATTACATTGTTCTCTCAATGGTTTTTAGGTTTCACTCTTCTTATTAAACACACACACACACCCTAGCGCGCGCGCGCGCACACACACACACACACACACACATCCATAATCTACACCCCCCTGCACACACAAACCCTGCACATACCCCCACCCCACACACACCCTGCATACACGAACCCTGTACACACACTGCACACTCACTATGCCCTATACACACCCACACACGCATACCTACACCCCACATACATGCACAAACCCTGCGCACACACACACCCCAAACTCCATACACACACATATATCCCCACCCCATACACATATGCTACATACATACATACATACACATACACACACACACAGACTCCAGTCCCCTGATAACCAGGCTGTGGCCCCATCACTCTCACAGTAGCCCTCCCAATTTTCATTTCATCTTCACTGTTAGCTTCTGCATCTTGCTATTTTCCTGAAAACTCAGTCTTGTCCCTGCAAGGACAAGTCAGCCATACTGGCAAAAACAGATACCTTTTAAGATTCTGTTATTGTTCTGATCAGATTTCTAAATTCCATAACCAGTCACCTTCTATCAGACACCCTGACGTTACAAGACATAGATTTCATAATTAGCATGATTTCTAGACCAAAGTAACAGAGCCACAACTTTCAACAACCCAGAAATAACTCACTGTGGTTCAGTGAATGTAAAAGACAGAGATTATGAAAAAAAGAAAAAGAGAATTTACCAAGTGACCTCTCAGTATCTGGGCTGAAATTTTCAAAGACAGAAAAGTAAATCAAAAGGAATGATGGGATTGTAGCCATGCACTTAATACTGCCTGAAACCAAAACATTTTGGCAGATGTGAGAGACACATAATCTGGATGCAATGTTACCACACTCTTTACTGGCACTGAGTCTATCTGCATACATACATACAACCATAGTGGGGTTTTTTTAAAACCTATAAACTATGAAGAGAAAGGAACTTTCTAAAAATGAGACTAACTTGGGCGCCTGGGTGGCTCAGTTGGTTAGGCGACTGCCTTCGGCCCAGGTCATGATCCTGGAGTCCCGGGATCGAGTCCCACATCGGGCTCCCTGCTCAGCGGGAAGTCTGCTTTTCCCTCTGACCCTTTCCCCTCTCATGCTCTCTATCTCATTCTCTCTCTCAAATAAATAAATAAAATCTTTTAAAAAATAAAAAAATAAAAAAATAAAAATAAAAATGAGACTAACCTAGCAATTTTACTTAAAAGTTTTATCCTAAAGGAAAAATTAAGGATGGCCATGCAAAAGGCCATAAGAATGTTCTACCTGGGAAAACAATGGCAAAATAATTCTTAGATGGGCAATAGTGAGCTGCTGGGCTAACTGGTGATACCTTCATGGGATAGAATGTCATTACCCTTTAAAAATAATATTGAAGAGTTATACTGACTTAGACACACATTCCTAATGTGTCATGGAATAGAAAAAATATGGATTACCAAACAATATATAGTTGATCCAATTCCTGCAAAAAAGATTCTAATAGTATGTGTGTGTGGCAGCAGAGAGGAGGGAATATGGGAATGCATGTGCACATGTGTGTGTGTGTGTGTGTGTGTGTATCCATGCACAACAAATATGAATTTGAAAGGGATAGAATATGAGAATTTTTACAGAGATTACCTCAGGAAGGTAAGCACTTCAGTCTTCTGTACATTCTGAATTTTCTATACTAAACATGTAAACCCCAAAATTCACAAAAGTTATAAATATAACCTGATAAAAATAGATTAGCATTTCCTACTCTACATTTCTTGCTCTGGTAATTAAGGGAAATTGTGATGACTTCATCCAACATCTTTCTCCTCAATAAAACAGCAGGAAATACATTTATGAACTCCCAAACTAATCCAGCCCCAGGTCTTAAATACTGAATATCTGTAGGACACATTAACAGCTTGGAAGAACCACAAAAATAAAACTAAAACAGCAACGAAAACCAAAAAAAGTTTCTAGGGCAAGGATTACTAAATGAACTCATACCTAACCTACATGTTTTTCTCTTACACTTGGTCATACCTCCCAGAAGCCTCTTGTTCATAGCCACTCATGTATCTGAATTGTGAGTAAGTTATCAATTCCCAACCTCTAGCAATGACACAGGAATTACATATAAAGTACCATCTACCGGGGCGCCTGGGTGGCTCAGATGACTGAGCATCTGCCTTCGGCTCAGGTCATGATCCCAGAGTCCTGGGATCGAGCCCCATATTGGGCTCCCTGTTCAGCAGGGATCCCGCTTCTCCCCCTGTCCCTCACCCCACTCATGTTCTCTCTCACTCTCTCTCAAATAAATAAAATCTTTAAAAAATAAACAAATAAAGTACCATCTACCAATGGTTCAAAAAGTATCCTGTTGAGTACTGGGGAGGAAAAAAAAGTGGCAAAACTACTTGTCACTTGTTGTTTTGCTCAATTTCTCCAGTTACTAGAATATTCAGAACACATGATTTGTGGGCACCTGGGTGGCTCAGTTGGTTAAGCGTCTGCCTTCAGCTCGGGTCATGGTCCTAGAGTCCTGGGATCGAGTCCCGCATCGGGCTCCCTGCTGGGCGGGGAGTCCGCTTCTCCCTCTGACCCTCCCCCCTCTCATGCTCTATCTCATTCTCTCTCTCAAATAAATAAATAAATAAATAAAATATTAAACAAAAAAAGAACACATGATTTGTGACTCAGAGAGTCCCCTGTCATCGTGGCTGTGATAGCTCACTTTTCAGATCTCAGCGGATGGAACACTTGTTTTTGGATAAAGGAATATTCTGCCATTTAGTACATTTATGGGAAAGAAGATCATTTTAAAGATGACAATACAAAACAAATTAAACATCACCGATACACATGGGTGCTGGATACTGGTCAGCTAAGGGCACAGACATGCAAGCAGCTCATACAGGTAAGAGAGTAAGCTGAACCACTTCCTTTAATACCTCACTGCCCACGCGAGGACATGAGCATGATTCAGAAGGGAATAATAATCTCATTAGTCTAGTTTAAGAGGAAAACCTGGCTACACTTACATAGTTCAAATGGAGAGTCAGGTTAACTGCTAACTGCAAATAACTATGAAAACATGCAGTATGCTGCTAATAATCCCAAACCCCAC